TTTTCACATAATATGTAGCGATTTTCCAATGGTCATAACTTTTACTTTTTTACTATATTTAATTTTATTTTAATATTTGTTTGTTATTATATTATTGTATGTTAATTGTGTTAGTACATGTTGCTTATGTTTCTACGTTTTGCTAATTTTGGAAAGGTAATTTTTGTTTAAATAGGCAAAGATAATCCACAACAATGTAGCCACACTATCAGTTTTCATTGGGTCTGATCATGCTTGGAAGTTGGGCTGTTTTGAAAGGGCAACTAGTAGTAATAGTGTGGCTACGACTGCCACTGCAGCTGCCGCTACTACTAATACTGCCAAGCAACAAACGGCAAAGTGTGAAGTATTTGCACCTGACAGAGATGGCTTTGTTGCATTCATAGAGGAGATTGCTGATCTTGATTACTTTAATTTAAATGGTATTTTTAAATATTTTTTCAATTTCAACATGAATTATAATAAGTTGGAAACATTTTTATAAAAATAATTGTACATTTAACAATGACATTAATGAAACAATTTGTATTGGACCTTTTTAATTTTTCATCCATTTAAATAAACAGAAAACAACGTGAACATTTTAAAGGAGGTTGTTGAAGAGATTAAAAACCGGGCAACAAGTGGAGATGATGACGTCAATGATGATGTCATTGATGATAGTTATCCTTGCAATGAACATTGCAGTCATTTTCTCAACAGCACAAACATCCTCAACAAATCTGACTTTGTACAAATTTTATCATTTCTTAAATTCATTGTTTTAAAGTCAAAAGAGGAGAAAAAAGAATTTTTTAAGTTGGTTTTTTTTGTGAAATATTTTTTTTTTATATTTTCAAGTTTATTAAGCTGGCTTATAATAAGATAAATACCATTATTACTACTTGTTACAACAGCTCCCATTGCTGTTATATTGTAAAGAAAATTAATTTTGTTGCTACTAGATCATTGGTTCCCAAACTCCAAGCATTACCGGAGGAATTAGTAACTAAAAGATTGCTGCCACTACTAACACAGAGATTCGTATTTCTCGACGAGACGGCATGTTCTGAATTCTTACCAAAATTTTTAACCCCCAGACCAGCCACCATTCTGACATCTGGTGAGTGGGTACTAAGTGAAGAATCATTTCGCACATCCCTGGTGCCTTTGCTCTTGAAGATATTTACGATTAGGGAGACTTATGTTAGGCTGGTTCTTCTGGAAAATTTTAAAAGTTATTGTCGTTGTATCGGGGAGGAAGACCTGAAGACGTTTGTCTTGGACGAGGTTATTATTATTATTATTATTTATTATTAATATCAATCTTCGTTTATAGTCTCCATCCGTTATGGGTCGGACTTTTTTTTATTCCATTCATCAGTTTATAATTATTTATTATTAATAATTATTTATAATTAATACTATATTATATATCAATATTTGATTAATACAATTTCAATTGCAAAAAAAATTTTATTTTATCTCCCAATTTTGTAGCTTCTATTGAGCTCAAGAGAAAGTGACGACAAATTAGTCGAACATTCCCTAATTGCTCTTTCCTGTTTGGTCCCTATTTTAGGCGGAAATGTTGTTATGGGAAGCCGTAGGACGAAATATTTTTTTGATGGAAATGTCAAGGTTGGATTAGAAATTAATTAATTTTATAAATTAGTGAAAAACGTTGGAATGATTGTATCAGAGTGAGTTTTATGTAAAATGAATTGAAATATCAGCTGTTTGTTATTCTGTTGTTGTTATGTGCCGTAACTTCAGTGAAAACGGTCGTTTCAAAGTGATATTTATGAAAAGCCTTTTTTAAAAAGTTTTTTCTTGACAATCTTAACAATAGCAATACTGATATTAATTCGAACAATTGCAGCAACAACCACTGAAACCTTGCATGGACCCTGGTGTTGACAACTTGCAAGAGGTACTAAACAAAACGAAAAACAGCAAAAAACATAATCATCGACAACAACATCTACAACTTCACCAACAAAGACACTACAATAAATTGAACGTAAACTCCAAAGAATGTTCTGCAGATATTTCTGCAGTGCCAAATGAGAACACAGTCAACCAAACATTAACTGACTTAACAGCAAACACCAACACAAATACTACAACTACAAACAATGACTTAATCATCAACAACAACGACATTGACTCCATTACAATAACAGCCAACAACAACACAGACGTTGACAAACAACAACACAAATATCTTCAACGACCAATTGCAATTATTGAACCAAAAACTAACTACCACAAACCAACTCTCAAAGAGTTGATATCCATTAAAAATGATTGTGAAGATGATGATGATAAAAATGACAGAAAAGAAGATACAGATACAGACGATGACGCTTACCAAAACATCACCGATAACATGAACACTAATTCACCATCTACTAACATTAAAACTGAAATATTTATAATTCCATACAGCCTGACTGGCCACACAGATAAAAACAGAAGCATTAACCCCTCAGATCGTACAAAACCTTCTCAAAATTTCCAACTCCCCAGAAACAACGGAGGAGCTATGAAACTGACAACAACATCACAACCACCTCACAACCCATCAAACAAAAGCTCTACAACAACAATTGAAACACTAGTACAACAATCACCATCGAAGAACATACAATCACCAGCAACACCGACTCAGAAAAATATTGAAATTAAATTCGACGAAGAAAAAAACCAGATGATGGGTAACATTGCAGATAAGACAAATTCGGCATGGGAGGATATGTGGGAATCTGTAGATGAACCTGAAGACATGAAAAAGAACCAATTAATACTACCTAAAATTACAAAAAGTGAAACTATAACTTCAGCTTCCAGCAGGAAACAACAACAAACATCAGCATCATCAGCAATTACTCCTACATCGAGAGCACCTACTTCTACATCAATAAAACAAACTGACAAAAATACCAACTTCTTAAAAGTTAAGCATGCGATGGATCAACCACTTGGCTACGGCTATGATATAAAAATGGTTGAAATTAAGAAAAAAACTCCAGAAAATGATGCCAAAAACGATGATTTCGACTTATTTTCTGAACTAATTCCTAATATTGATTTCAGAAAAAGTGAAATTTTAATTGAAAACAGCTTGAATAGAAAATCTAGCACCACTGGCCTCCCCACAAATTCCACTCGCGACATTACTCCTACTAGTGCTAACAGCAATCTTAATTACGATGCTATCAATTATAGTCCTGATAGTATTTATAGTAATAATAATAATAATAACAATAACAATAATAATTGTAACAAATACAACAATAATAATAACAACGATATAGTTACTGCTGCGTCACCTACAACGAATTATAAACTTTTCCAAAGAACTGATAATGATTGGGGTGATTGGAATAATGATGATGACGATATTATGTTATGATAATGAGGTTGACTGGTGGGAGGTTTTAGGTTGATTTCAGTTTGGTTTTTGTTTGTATAAAATTTGTTCAATTTTCAATCTGCATTCCATATAAGCTTATATGTACGTGCAATATTTGATGAAATTTACCGAATTTTTTTAGCCTCTAATTCACGAGCCATATTCAAATGTTGCATCAATTATGGTCTCCATCCGGCCTTAATATAAATATATTAATATATATATAAGCATATATATATATATATATATATATATATATATATATATATATATATATATGTTGGAATTATTATCCAAGTTCATCCTGAAAATTTGATAAAGCTGTTGTTATCTAAATTCATCATGCAGATAGGCCTTATTTCGATTTTTCACAAATCATCTTCAGTGCAATTTCTTTAGGCAAAGCAAAGTTAGTTACTAACCATTCTTTGTTGGATGTTTATTTGTGGTTTATTTAAATCTTCTGCAATTTTTAGATGTATTGTGTGACTGTTTTCAATAAAGAATGATCTGCATGAGGAATTTGAATAGCAACAGTTTTATTAAATTTTCATGATGAACTTGGATAATAATTTTATTTTCAATTCCCAGAAAATTTTAGTAAGGAAAATTGAAAAAAACAAACTTTAAATTGATTAATGCCAACGATTCGGTAGAATTCATACAATACTGCATATATGTATATATTTTGGATTTAGACTATCATAAATACAATTATTTATAAAGATCACTGCGTTTTTGACTATATATATATATATATATATATATATATATATATATAAATATATGTGTATACATATACATACATACATCTCTACAAATCTTTTTCTAGGTTCTAACGATTTACTATAATCCAAACAAATAATAAGTTAAAAATGTTGTGAATACGTAAAATAAAATTTGAGGCACTCGTATGATCATTTCAAGTTTTGTTTTTACCTACTTCACTTTTAAATTTTAAACTAAAAGTAAACTTACGTCTCATTAAATGCTTTTAAAATTCCATTCAAGCGAAATTATTATTGTTTAATTAATAAGTAATTGAAATTTCGATTAATTAAAAATGCGTCACGTAACTTTTGTAGACTTTGTTGAGCTGGAGTTCGAGGGCAACGTCATGAGCAAGGCCCTCGTCATGGGGGACGTCGACAACGATGGGGTTGGTCGTTGGTGGGATGGTGGTTTGCTTGTTCACAACCGTCGTTCTTGTTAATAATAATAATAATAATAATAATAATAGTATGGTGGTTGATAATAATAATAATAGTATGGTGGTTGATAATAATAATAATAATAGTATGGTGGTTGATAATAATAATAATAATAATAGTATGGTGGTTGGTAATAATAATAATAATAATAGTATGGTGGTTGATAATAATAATAATAGTATGGTGGTTGATAATAATAATAATAATAGTATGGTGGTTGATAATAATAATAATAATAATAGTATGGTGGTTGGTAATAATAATAATAATAATAGTATGGTGGTTGATAATAATAAAAATAATAATAATAGTGTGGTAATTGATAATAAAATAATATTTGTTGTTCTAATGTTTGTCAATTGTTTTAGCTTATTTTATTGCCATAATAATGGCATAATTTAATTAATTATTTTCTTTTCCAATTTATAATATAAAATTAATATAATTTATTTATATATAATTTACTTTACAAGTAATTAAATATAATAAAATCTGAATATAAACTATAAATTTACTGAAGAAAGTAAAAGTTTGCCAGTAATTCAATGCAATACTTGAAGACAGGCATTATCAATTATCAATATTAATATAGTTGTCATAATATAATAATTATAAAAATATTATATTATATTAAAAATTATATTATAATTTTTCTTGCTTTCCCCTACCTACAGAGGAATGAGATAGCCCTGGGCACAACCAATGGCGACCTATACCTATACAAAGGCATTCAGAATACTAAACCATGGGCCAAGTCTTCTAATCTTGGAATGGTGCTGTTTATAATTATTTTTTATAAAATTTAATTCAAATTATTTTAAAATTTAATTTCATTCATTTGTTTAAGATTTAATTTAGTTTTAATTATTTACAGTTATTTTAGTTTTAATTATTTACAGTTAATTATTGTTTTTCATAATTTCATTCAATTATAATCCTAATTAATTATAATTAAATAATTAAATTAATTAAACACATACATGTGTTATATGTTTAACCTTTCAGATTGCTTGCTTAGAAGTAGGAGACTTGTGCAACACAGGCATTGTGAGAAGTTACAATTACGAATAATTATGACGAAGGATGAATTTTAAATAATTATATATAAATAATATTTTTTTTAAAGTAATATTATTAATGTTAATATTAATTAATCAATTAATAATGATATATAATGATAATAATTATATTAAATAAATATTAATAATAAATACATTTATTAGAAGTTGTAGAAAAATAATTACAACAACAATAATAGTAGTAATGTTCATAGTAGTAGTAAATGAAAATAAATATTAATTATTTTTATCATTATCATTATTATTATCATTATTATTGTTATTATCATTATCACCATTATTATTATTATTATTAAAGAATTGTTTAGTGTCACTTGGCACGGAGGGTTGGTGCCATATATTCTGCCTGAACAACAACAACTTGCTTCCTGGCCAGGCCTTCAATGTTGGCATTATTATTATTATTATTATTACATATATATATATATATATATATATATATATATATATATATTATCATATATCGGGATTACTACCTTACTGACTAGAAGGCTTACGATGCATAAGCAGAGTGGTGCTATCAAATCTCATTTGGACTCAACACACTCAATCACAATTAGCCGTGAAATCCTCGACAGCAACACCAAAGTAATATACCAGAACAGCAACTACACGCAAATTAAAATTGCAGAAGCAGTCCTAATTGACATCAATAAACCAAAAATAAATATACAACAAAAAATGACAACCTCACTTCCAACCCGGCGCTTAACCAACAACGAAAACAAAGAAGTAATAAAAACTAGCATCGTAAATAGTGACAAAGAAGAATATGATGCTATCCATGAAGAAAAGGAGACCAAAGAAGATGTCCAGCCAATAAAGAAACCTGACACCTAATTCGCATCAAAGTTCAATTTTACAACACCAAAGTTAATTTTTACAACGTCAAAGTTCATCTTGACAAAGTGAATATTTCCCTATATATACAGCAAGGACCACTGATGATGATTCATTCGGAATCGAAATATGGCCTTATTTGCAGCATGAATTCGAAAAATAAGTTTATTTTGAATTTTAATTAACTAAACGTTCACCAAAAAACTTTAATGAGAAAATCGAAAAAACGAAAAAACGCCAAACATTCGGTAGAATTTATAGAATATTGTTAAAATATATATTACTATGTATATATATAGTATTCAATCAAATAATTTAAGAATAATTGAATAAATTCAAAAAAATTTTTTGGTATAACTATATCTGATCATATTCATTCTATTTCTAAAAAGATTTCTTAAAAAACTTAGGCTTAATACATCGACTAAGACTTAAATTTCGAAACCATATTTTACAGATATTGTAAAACTCAATTGTATTGCCTTATTTAGCATATTGTATTCCTATTTATGGGTTTTCCACTAAATCTAGTCTCCATCTTCTTAATGTATGTCAGAATTATTATTTACGATTTTTTTTTTTTGGTCTTAATAAGTATGCTCTGTCAGTCAGTACTACTGTTTAAACAATATCTTAAAAGTAAATCAGCTACACATTTTGTACACATTGTTATTCATTTTTTAATTTTATAAATTAAATTATTGTCCGTCTCTTTATGATCAAATATGTGTTCGACAGTTTTAAGATATAGACCCGATTTTTATTCACCCACACATTGTTTAGATCTTTTTTCAAATTCGGTTATTTTTCAGTTTCTATTCGTCTTTGGGATTTATTACCCGTGTATATTAAGAATTCTGCATCTATTGGTAGATTTAAAAATCTTATTTATGGTTTGTTATTATCTGACTAGGTTTCTTTATTGAATATGTGTATGTGTGTGTATGCTTGTGTACGTATATGTTTCTATGTATTTATTTCTTGTTGTATAATTTTTGTTCAAATTAAGAGAGCATAACAATTTGACCATTTCATTATTTCTTATTTCATTATATTATTTATTATTTCAGTGTTTCTAATTATTTAATAGTTCATGGTTGAATGTGTATTGAATTTTTTTTTGTTTTTTTTTCTGTTGTTTTTTTTTTCATTGTGAACTGTAAAATAACTTCTTATAATTTTTTGTTCATTTTTGGGTGGCCGTTGGCCCAACAAGTCATTTCTTCGGGTCTCCTAGCTTTGCTGAATAAACACATAACATGTGAAAATAAACATATCATTGAATTGAATTCAATTGAATAGAAATTTATGAAATCCAGCATTCATTGCATTGGATTTCTAGCGTTGGATAGGTTTTTTTTTACATTTCCCACTATTTCTAACCATGTTCTTGTCGTCATATTTATTTTATTAAAGTTAAAATAATATACAGTTTTCCAATTCATTTTCGAGTGTCTAAGAGCTATTTCAACTTTTCAATCATCTTCAGCACTTTTTGCAGTTGATCTAGAAAATCTGTATAACCCAGTACTTGTTGCAGTTTATATAGAAAATTTGTATAACCCAGGTCTTTGTTCCTGTGATTTACATTCATTGTTGTCAGTGACTTTGTTAATTCTACTGTCTGCTTTACTAATTGATACGGTTTCTTAGCTCGGGTTAGTTGCTTTGGTGTTATGTTTTATTACCTTGATATCATTTACCTGGTCGATGTTGCTTTCTTCAGTTTCTTCATCGGTACCATTGGTGTTGTTAGTTTATTTTATTATTGCCCTTCTTGTCGGGAGTAATGTTGAAATCTTTTGTTGTTTATTTATCAGGGGTTGTATTATGCCGATGAGAATGGCTTCGGCTAATATCAGACAGACGGACAAACTAAAAAAAAAAATTAATAAACAAGCATGCATAAGCACGAACACATCCAAACACACAAATAAACAAACACACAAACAGCTGAGTGACATTGGACAGGAGGTCAGAGTGTTGAGCTCAGACGTTGGCAACACTACGGACATCAGCAACACATCTTCAAATGAACAACAACAACCTCGTCAACACCATCATCAGCCTCTGCAACATTCTGCAAGTTTCCCACTTAATTCCTCAACACAGCAGCAGCAGCAACAACAGCAGCCACAACAGCAGCAGCAGATGCATATTTTGAAGCCAGCTTATACCCAGAGATTGAGTTCGAACTGCAAGGCGTGTGTCATTGCTGATATAGGTCAGACATTGTTTTTTTCTTGATCCATTCATATGATTTGTTTCTCCATTTATTCGTTGGTTGGTTGATTGGTTGGTTGGCTGTCTGGCTGGTTGGTTGGTTAACTAGCTAGCTAGCTGGTTTGTCTGTTTCTTTGTTCGTTCGTTCGTTCATTCATTCATTCACTCATTAGTTAATTCGTCCATTCGTTCATTCATCTGTTTGATTGGTCCACACCAACCAACTAACCTCCAAACTACAACCGCACACACACACACACATCCCACGACGTTGAAGATGGCGATGGGAAGAACGAGCTGATCGTCGCATTCACCGATCGCGTCGTTCGATGCTTCAAGTGGCTTCCTGAGGTACCTGCGGCCGGCGCCAGTAACACGCACAGCACCGCCAGTCTCGGAAGTGTGGTCGTCGGTAGTAGCACGGTGATGCCGTCTGCCAGTACCGCCACGGCCACCACTTCGTCTGGCAGTTTGCCGCAGTCCAGCAGTGGCGCTGGTCTGCAAGGGATGAATTATGCCTTTGGCGCACTGGTGTTAGTCGAGAAGTGGAAGTTAGCTGGACAGGTGGTTGTTGTGGCTGCTGTGGTTGTTGTGGCTGTTGTGGTTTTTGTGGTTGTTGTGGTTTTGTCTGGTTGTAATTCTCGATGTCATGGTGGTGGTGGTTACTGCGGTTAATAATTTTTTTCAATGAAGTATGTTTGTCTTTTTGCAGTTACTAATAAACACACACGTACAAACACATCCACAAGCACACACACCTACAAACACACACAGACACACACACACACTTAAACACAATACACACACACAAACCCACACACACAATACACCCATAGACACACAAACAAACACACACAGACACACACCCACAAACACACACTCACATACACACACACAAACCCACACACACACATGCACGAGCAGGTGGGTTCGATGACGACAAATAGGAAGACGAACGGACGCACTGAGGTCCTCGTGTCTCAACCTGGCGGCTCCTACGTCGTCCTCGTCTGCTCTGCGGATGATAACGATACCGGAAACAATAACAACAACAACAACAACAACAACAATAATAATAATAATAATAATAATAATAATAATAATAATAATGACGATGGTGCGGATGCTAGTAGCAATAAGTTTGTGCTGATTTTTTGTTGTTTAGTTAGTGAGTGAGTGAATAACTAAATGGATGGATGAGCGAATGAATGAGTGAATGAATGAATAACTAAATGCAACGAAATGAATGAATGATTGCATAGATGATGAAATTATATAATCAATTGATTGGATGAAGGACCTCCTCCGGCACCTCCCTCTGCTACCACCCCCTGGGGTCCGCCAGGGCTCGCAACCCCAACGTCACCACGGAAATAATTAGTAATCTGAGAAGGAATATCAGGAATCAGGGATGTGCTGGTTCCGGCGACGGCGGTGCTAGTAATGATACTGGAGGATACTCTGCTATATGTACACTGGATGGTTGGTTGGTTGGTTGGTTGTTTGGTTGGTTGTTTGTTTGGTTGGTTGTTTGGTTGGTTGGTAGGTTGGATAGAGTGACTGATCGATTGATTTCATGATTCTTTCACAGATTCATCCATTCATTCATTCATTCATTCATTCATTCATTCATTCATTCATTCATTCATTCATTCATTCATTCATTCGTTTATTTATTCATTCACTCATTCATTCATTCATTCATTCATTCATTCATTCATTCATTCATTCATTCATTCATTCATTCATTCATTCATTCGTTTATTCATTCATTCATTCACTCATTCATTCACTCATTCATTCATTCACTCCTTTCTAGGAACTCTGACGTTGATTGTTGACGACACGATAGCCTGGTCACTCTACGTTGACCACCAGCTCTTCTCCCTCACCAAGATGGACATAACGGTGCTGATGATGATGATGGTGGTGGTGGTGATGATTGTGGTGGTGATGCTGATGATGATTGTGGTGGTGGTGGTGGTAGTACTGATGATGATGGTGGTGGTATTGATGATGATGGTGATGATGGTGGTGGTGCTGCTGATGATGATTGTAGTGATGATGATTTTGGTGGTGATGATGAGAATAATAATTAGAATAATGAAGATGACGATGACTGCTAATCACTGTCATCATCACCATCATCATCATCGTCATCCCTTTTATCATCTTCATCATTACCACCACCACCACCATCATCATCATCACCACCTCTATCATCACCATCATCACCACAACCATTACCACTGCCCTCATCATCATCATCTCCTTCCATGATCATTACTGGACCCCCCCATAACACACCCATCCCTGAAACCAGGGTGACGGAACGGAAGAGGTGGTGGCCTGTTCGTGGGATGGCCACACCTACATTGTCAACCTTTCGAAGGAGGTCGTCAGGTTCCACTTCAAGGACAACGTGGCCGCATTCACTTCCGGTTCTCATCATTTATGATCTTTCATCAAAATTATTACGCGTTATATTTAATTATTTGTTAATTATTTAATATATTTGTTAATTATTTAATATATTTATTAATTATTTAATATATTTGTTAATTATTTAATATATTTATTAATTATTTAATATATTTATTAATTATTTAATATATTTATTAATTATTTAATATTAATTATTTGTTAATTAATTCATGTCGTCATTCTTTTTTTTCTTTCGATCGTTCCTTTGCTGCTTTTGTACATTTATTCATTCTTCACGACGGTGGAGTATGATAATAATGATGATGATGATAATTGTGATGATGATGATGATGATGATAGTAGTGGTGATGATGATGATAATGATAATAGTGGTGGTGATGATGATGATAATGATAATAGTGGTGGTGATGATGACGATAATTGTGATTATGATGGTGATAATGATAATAGTGGTGGTGATGATGATGATAATTGTGATTATGATGGTGATAATGATAATAGTGGTGGTGATGATGATGATAATGATAATAGTGGTGGTGATGATGACGATAATAGTGGTGATGATGATGATGATGATTATGATAATTGTGATGATGATAATAATAATTGTGATGATGATGATAATGATGATTGTGATTATGATGGTGATAATGATAATAGTGGTGGTGATGATGATGATAATGATAATAGTGGTGATGATAATGATGAAATTAGTGATGATGATGATGATGATGGTGGTGGTTTGGGATCTTTTTGCATTTGAACCCGGCCCCTGAAACTCAGCAGAGCCAGGCAGGCAGGCCACCTTAACCAATGCGCTGCGTGGCAGGCTTGTAGTTGCTTTCAAAAAACCCACCACAATCCACAATCAAATCGTTTCCACAGCTCTTTAGACATAATAATAATAACAACACCAATAATAATAATAATAATAACAGGAACAGTTTATTCATTACAATTACGTACATCTAACACCTAGCACACACACACACACACACACACACACACACACACACGAACAAACACCACCACCACCACCACCGTCAGGCACCTACCACGACAGCAACGGTCGTACCACCACCACCCTCTGCTACGCCACCTTCCTCAACAAGCTCGTCCTCTATTACAACATCTACCTAAGCAATATCGGTGACTATGATGATGATGATGATGATTATTATTATTATTATTATTATTATTATTGTTAATGTTTTTAAACTATTTATGATGACTATGATGATGATTATTATTATTATTATTATTGTTAATGTTTTTAAATTATTTATTAAAATTAGGATTATAATTATTACGATGATGATTATGTTGATGATTATTATTATTATTTTTGTTTTAAAATTTTAAAATTATTTATTAAAATTATGATTATAATTATGATGATTATTATTATGGTTATGATTATTATAATTATTATTATTATTATCATCATCGAGGCATGTGTGACCTGATCAGCAAGGTCCGCAGTGATGGAGAGGTCGTGGAAGCACTGAAGAGGAGGAATGTCGATGGTTAGGATGAATGAGACACACACACACACACACACACACACACACACACATACATGCATACATACACACACACACACATACATACATACATACATACATACATACATACATACATACATACATACATACATACATACATACATACATACATACATACATACACACATACACAGACCTACATTAAAAAGATGAATGAATCCTTCAGAGTGGATGATCAAATGAATAAATGACAATTAAATGAGTGAAAGAATGTTTAAAATAAACACACACACTCACACGCACACTCACACACAAACACTTACACACTCACACACACACACACACTCACAGTAACAGACAAATCCGCGTTAAAAGCCTACCTCAGCCAACTTCTCTACAATCCAACTACTACTTCCACTACTGCTACTACTACTGCTACTACTACTACTGCTACTACTACTACTGCTACTACTACTACTACTGCTACTACTACTGCTACTACTATTACTGCTACTACTACTACTGCTACTACTACTACTGCTACTACTACTACTACTACTACTACTACTAATACTGCTGCTACTACTACGACCACCGCATCAACGACCTCTTGAAGAAGAAGAAAAAGAAGAGGATGATGATGGTGATGTTGATGATGATGTTGGTGATGATGATGGTGGGTGACAGCAGTATTAATGGGTGGGTGAGGTTGGACCGATTGAATTAGTAAATGAATGAACGAACGAGTGAATGAGTAGGTAATTGAATGAATGAACGATTGATTACTAAATAATTTGATTGATTGAAAGAAGGAGCAAATGAATGAATAAATGAATGGATGAATAACTTCATTAACGATTCGATTTTAGTATTTCAATTCACATGGCATCAACAGAAAACTATGATTGTTGTTCTGGCGATGGTGAATAGGATGAATATAACGGATGCATGCATATATGAATGAATGAATGAGTGTACGAATGAATGAAGAAAAAAATGAATGAATAAATGAATGAATTGTTTAATTAATGAATGAACGAACTAATGTATGATTGAATAAATGAATGAGTGTATGAATGAATGAATGAATAAAGAAAAAAGTGAATGAATGAATGAGTGTATGAATGAATGAAAAAAAAATTGAATGAATAAATGAATGAATTAATGAGTTGTTTAATGAATGAATGATTGATTGAATAAATGAATAAGTGAATGAATGAATGAATAAATAGATGATGAATGTATGAATTGTTTAATGAATGACCGAATGAATTGTTTCATGAATGAATGAACGATTGAATGATTGATTGAATAAATGAATGAATGAATAAATAGATGAAGAAAGAATGATTTATTTAATGAATGAACGATTGAATAAATAAATGAATGAATGTACGAACGAAACACCATCAGCACTTTAATTTTTATCATTTTTTTCACTTTCGCCACGTGAACATTTAAAATATGATGAATTGAAAACTTGACTTTGAAAAAAAAAATGACTGCACTTATTAACACAATAACATTCATTATAATAATAATAATTATTATTATAAATTATTATTATTAAAAGTTGAAAGATTAAAATATATACCAAAAAAAAATGTTTAAAAGTGAATACTTGAAGGATAAAATATACAACAGCGACGTTAAATATGATACAAAAATAAAAAAACAATGGCAATAGTAATAATAATTAATAATAATAATAATTAATAATAATTATTATTTATTATTATTGCTGTTATTATTATTATATAGGAAGGTTAATTAAAATGAGCAGTTATTAAATGGTGTCTTTTAAAGACGAGTTACGAAGAAAAATGAGAAAAAAAAGAAAATGTTTGGCTGTATGTTTGTATGTATTTATGTTTGTATGTTTATATTTGCATCTTTTGATTGTAATTTTTATGTAGAGGTTTTTTTGTTTGTTTCTGTGCTATGTAGGTGTATGTTGTATAATTGTGTTTGTATGTTGTTTTTTTTTGTGCTTTTGTATTGTATTATCTGGCATTGTTTTTGTACTGTATTGTTTTGTGTTGTTTTGTATTGTGTGGTGTTGTATTGTGTTGTTTTGTACTATGTTGTGTTGTATCTTTCAATATTGGAATGAATAGAATTGTAGAAGATTGTACAAAAAAATAGTTCTGGAAAAGTTTAAAATGGCGCGCTTTTGAGTTTATCGTGCTGGAAGGAAAAGTTGAAAAGAAAGGAATGGGTCACTCGACAGTTTGCATATGATGAGAACCATTATCGTTAACCGATCATTCACTCAAGAAATCATTCATTCAATTATTCATTCAAAAATTTATTCATTCATTCAATCAATGCCAATCATTCAGTTAATCAATCATTTATTCAACTAATCAATCATTTAATCAATTTACCAGCCAACCAATCAATCATTCAATCAATCAACCAGCCAACCAATCAATCAATCAATCAATCAAACAATTATTCAATCAATCAAACAGCCAATCATTCATTGAATCAACCAAACAGTCAACCAGCCAACCCACCAGCCGACCAATCAAGCCCCCAGCATCTTCTTAACAGTATAGCCAGGAAGGCTGTAGAAGAAGAGAATGAACAGGAGTGAGAGGAGGATGATGAAGAGGACCTTGAGGACAAGCCAGCGGTAGTTGTGCCACAGAATGTACTTCAGGGATTTAATCGGGTTCAAGAACCAGACGAACGACGTGTCTGGCCGACTGTCGTGATGATGATGATGTCGTGGTGATGATGATGATGTCGTGGTGATGATGATGATGTCGTGGTGATGATGATGTCGCGGTGATGATGATTACGATTGCGATAATGGTACAGTGATGATGATTAGGGTTTTAAGTATGATGGGAATGAAACGATTGATGATGATGAAGACGGTGATGATGATGATGGTGGTGATGATGATGATTACTTAGGTTTCTCGAGAGGGTCGGGCTCACTTCGACCTTGACCTGCTGGATGCTTTTCTACCTCCTCTGACGTCAGCAGGTGCAACTCTGCCTCTACTTTGCCCTGGTTTATAAAAAATTATGAATAAATAAATGATCATTCTGTTCGCATAGTCGAGATTGTTAGAAGATTTATGAGAGAATGAAATGTACCGTGAGTTCCATCTCTTCCCCGCTGACCTTCACGTAGAAGGGCCACCACCCCTTGACCCGTTTGTGCTTGAAAAGGTTGATTTGGGGTACCGAGCCGTCGGTTTTCAGCATATCAAGTGTACATTGTTTCGATGATTTGGCCCCTCTTGGAAACTGGGTCAGTTCAAAGGTCATAGCCCCTTTTTTTTAATTTAAAAGATTGAAAATTGTCTGCGTTGTTTGATAGCCGCGTTCGTTCAGATATTTCAATGAATGACAAGTTCTGCATGTTGAATATTTACTGCAAAATAATTTTTTCACCTAGAAAGTCGTCTGCAGAAAAATGATCGGCGTCCCATACTTGTAGATTCAGGCGGGCCGGTATTTTGGTTTCGGTCTCGTCCCAGGAGAAAACCGTATCCTTTCGACTCATCACCACCTTCTCTTCCGCCACCAAATATTCGAAGGGGAATATGAAGCGCCAATTAAAATTGCCCTCGCCAGTTAAAGACCTGCCATTGGTTGGGAAAGAAACCGTTGAATGTAAAAGTCAGGTTCGAATGAGTTGATGGCTGGATGTGATTGGTCTGTGGACTTTCAAATATTTGAAAATTCTCGATTGAATATTCACATAAGTATGTCACTTTCAATTAATCTCGATAAATTTATGAGATTTCAACCAATAACATTACAAAATAATTAAAATAAATTGTAATTATAATAATTATGCGATGAAATTATGAATGTAATTATGCCTGTAATGAATTGTGAATATAATTATGCCCGTAATGAATTATGAATATAATTATGCCTGTAATGAATTATGAATATAATTATGCCTGTAATGAATTGCGAATATAATTATGCCTGTAATGAATTATGAATATAATTATGCCTGTAATTAATTATGAATATAATTATGCCCGTAATGAATTATGAATATAATTATGCCTGTAATGAATTGCGAATATAATTATGCCTGTAATGAATTATGAATATAATTATGCCCGTAATTAATTATGAATATAATTATGCCTGTAATGAATTGCGAATATAATTATGCCTGTAATGAATTATGAATATAATTATGCCTGTAATGAATTGCGAATATAATTATGCCCGTAATGAATTATGAATATAATTATTCCTGTAATAAATTATGAATATAATTATTCCTGTAATGAATTATGAATATAATTATGCCCGTAATGAATTATGAATATAATTATGCCTGTAATGAATTACGAATATAATTATGTCCGTAATGAATTATGAATATATATATGCCCGTAATGAATTATGAATATAATTATGCCTGTAATGAATTATGAATATAATTATGCCTGTAATGAATTATGAATATAATTATGCCTGTAATGGATGTCCGTCGACTGCATGTCTTCCGTGCCTTTAATCCAACCCTGTAGTCAAATGTTGGGGCCACTATTTATACCACCACATAATAATAATAATAATAATAACTGCAACAACAACAACAACAATATTAATAATAACATTAATAATAATAATAAAATGATAATAATATTATTTAAAATAAAAACATTAATAAAATAATAATTATAACAATAATAATAAAAATTACAACTACAATAATAATAATGATGACCTTGACATAGATGTCGCTCATCTTCTCGCCGGTGAAGAAGGCATCGTCCTCCAACACCACGTCGTCGGTGTTCCATATTATCAC